TTATAACTGAACTGTATGTTGATGAGCTGCTTGTGCCAGACGAGTGTTTCTGTTTGGTGGAACTTTGGGCGAAATCAGAAGTCCTAGCTCGTTCGAACACCTTCCGTAGTAGTATCGATAGTAAGTGATAGGTCCGCCACTTTTCACCGATGTTCAAGGCTTTGGAGGTCTTGGTCAACTCCGGGTCATCGATAAGACGGACTGCTCTCTTTTGTATCGAGTCCAACATCTTGAGCAAGTGTTTGGATACTGATCTCCATATATATTTGTAGTATTCCAAGGATGCTCTTATCTGGGCCTCATAAGAGCAGCAAAAGCTGAAATGGGGTATACAACTTCCTTATTCTATAAAAAGCCCCTAGCTTTTGTGCTGCTGTTTTGGCGATTTTGGTGACGTGGTTACGCCAAGACATGTTATTTTCCAAGTTGACGTGCAATACGTTTATGGATGAGGCCAAGACCCAGTGTTGGTCCTGTCATTGTTATAGGTCAGATCCTGCAAGTTTTACCTTTTTTGATAAAATAGTTGCTTACGTCTTTCCTGCAACAATGATTATTTATGCGCAGTGTTGCTTTCCTTCTCCTAATGTTGTAGTTCTCAAATTGATACCATATACTGATACCATCAATAATAAAGGAATCTACTTCCCGACAAGTCGTTAAAGTAGTGATAAATTACTCATTTTTTTTTGCTTATTTCATTGAACCGCCATCATAAAATTAATACTTATTGTGAAAATTTATATGCATGGTGCATTTGCTCGAATAATCATGAAAATAAATCTACGCTCAAAAAACAGGCAGATCCAGGGAATTGCGTCGCGCCGCGAAGTATTGCTTCTATTTTGACATATTTATATACGATTATGTCAGAATAGAATGTTAAACGGACATATTTCGTCGGAAAAACGGATGCATGAAAATCCTCCCTTAAGCCGGAGTTTCATGCATTCGTTTTCCGACGAAAGATGTCCGAAAAACCTTTTATTCTGACAGAAGCCGCTTTCCAGCTGTGTACTTCAAGCATGGTGCAGCACAGTGTTCTGTGTTTGAAACGCAAAAGTTAGCAGCTCTCGAAGCGCAATACGGCTGGAACACGAACATGCGCTTGAAGCATTTGCGCGCGCAAAAGCTCGATTACGTGCTCAAAAGCGTCAGCTGGAAAGAGTATAACAAATATGTCAAAATAGTACGTTTTTCGGACATCTTTCGTCGGAAAACGGATGCATGAAAGTTCGACCTTAAAAATATTTTGTCATCAAATGTCATTATTATACGAGGGTCAACCTGTCAAATTTCCAAGGATGATGCTACGCCAATAGCGGCCAATAATATCTGAAAAGCATATATAGGCATTCACCTGAAAGTGTCTGCCATTTCAGCCAAAGACCCCAACTCTTGGCTTGGGGTGTAAAATGCATTAACCGAATTTAAAACAGTTTAGGTCAAAAAAACGAATTCCTAAACGTTAAAGGCGATTTTCAGCCTGGAATGATTATTATTTGGTTATAACCAATGCATTTTCGCCGTCGCGGTTTTAACCAAAGTAGGGGAAGTTGTGATGTCACATATCAGCTGATTTGCTTTTGGTATTTACCACTTATAACCGATTATAACCCAGCTTTGGACTTGGGTTAATCTTTTGGTTACAGCTTTTTGATGTGATTGTTATTATTTTGGGAATTGGTATTGGTGTTTTGTGATTTTGCAGTTGTGTTGTGGCCTGGCACAATGGGAGAAGTATACACTCACTCACTCACTGCAACTCACCATGCGTAGATCGAGGTTTAGATCATCCCCAAAGAAAATCTGTTCGATGAACGAGACTATCGAGAGATTCCGCTCCATTTTTTGTACCTAAACAACAAACCATTGTTGAAACGAAAAAACAAATAGGAATAATAAACTAATCTAACTAATGTGTTTGTAGATGTCATTAATGTTGTTTTAAATCATATATTTAGTTTAAAAAAATATGTCATTATTACAGGCGATTTTAACATACACTTTGAAAGGGATTATAATGAAAAAAATTGTTTCTTGGATGTTGTCGGGTCATACGATTTTGCGCAGCAAATCTTTACTAGCACTAGGTTAGATCACTGTATTGATAATCTGTTTTTAAATTTTAGCTACCTGAATAATTTTGAATCAAATGTTTTTAACCCTGTATTGTCAGATCACTCTGCTATAGAGTTTCTTTGGAATGTCAACTTTTTAATTGAAAAACCAAAAACAAATAGTATTTGCCGTCCCATAACCAATCGAGGAAAATTTCTCTTTTACAATATGCTTGAAGGGGAAACCTGGGGGTTTTTAAATTGTGATATTTCTGTAAATGATAAATGTAATCAGTTTTTTGATAAGTTTTTAGCTATGAGAGGTGTTGCATTCCCTGAAGTTCAGCGATGCTCTGAAAAATCCTCGGCAGATGGGGTACAGTGGTTTACCCCACAGCTTCAGGTGATGAGGCATGAAATACAGGTGCTGAATGATATGTGTCAGGAATCTTACTGTCCACTGCTGCGTAGTGAGTTGAGGGCATCAAGGCGTATCTATAGGGGGGCAATTGTGGAGGCAAAGAAGTCTGCAAATTCAAATTACATTAGGAATGCAGATAACACTGCAAAAGCATCTTGGGATGTTATCAATGCTAGCAGAGAGAAATCTAAATCAATTGTCCCGGATATTCAACCAAATGAGTTTAACGACTTCTTTGCTGACATTGCGGACAGGTTAGTTAATTCCCTGCCGCGGGCGGCTATTCCGTTTGATACTTACCTAAATATTGCCGGTACTGTGGATCCCAACCTTATCTTCTCTTTTAGACAGGTGACATATATTGACGTTAGGAATGCAATAGACTGGTTGAAGAATAAACATAGTAAAGATATTTATGACCTTAATATTACCCTTATTAAATCTATGAAGGATGTGCTGATCTCTCCTCTTACAAGGTTGTTTAATGCCTGTATTAATGACTGCACCTATCCTCATGCTTTCAAAATAAGTAAAACTGTACCAATTTTTAAGACTGGAGATCGCTGCTCTGTAAATAACTATAGACCAATTTCACTTATTCCTGTGATATCAAAAATTTTTGAATTGCTTCTTAAAAACCAGCTATGTGAATACTTTGAAACAAACAATCTCCTGTCTGCAGATCAATTTGGTTTTCGAAGGGGAAGGTCCACAGTGATGGCAGTTAACAAACTGTGCGAAGCCATAGTCGGGGGCTTTGAGGAGGGCAAGTTTGTGGGAGCCACCTTTTGCGACCTCTCCAAAGCCTTCGACTGTGTCTCGCATGGGACTCTTGTGGCCAAGCTGAAGTATTATGGTGTTGCCGGGTGTGCTTGCAGTCTCATACAAAACTATCTCACAGATAGGCGACAGATAACAAGTGTCAATGGTGAGAGCTCAGAGAGTAGGGTGATGCTACATGGGGTCCCCCAAGGTTCCATACTAGGACCTTTGCTTTTCATAATCTACATAAATGATATAAAATCTGCGCTGCAGCACAGCGAGGTGACACTGTATGCGGATGATACCAGCTTCTTGGTGGCGAAGGGGGAGTTCAACGCTTTGTGTGAGGAAGCGAGCGACTGTGCCGAGAGTGTGGGTGACTGGTTTCTTGCCAATGGGCTTTCTCTCAATCAAACCAAAACCGAGAATATAACCTTTACCTTAAGACGAGATGAAGAGATCAGTAATCCTACTCAGATAAAATTTCTGGGAGTCATGCTTGACCCCAATCTTACTTTCGAGTGCCATGTAAACCATATCTCCAAGAAAATTACATCTGGAATATATGTACTTAGAAATCTGTGTAGGACCACCAATTTGAGTGTCGCTCTAATGGCCTACCATGCTCTGGTCCATTCCGTGATTTGCTATGCTCTGTTAGCCTGGGGACATTCGGCTCATGCCTCTAGAGTGTTTGGTTTGCAGCGGAGGGCAGTGAGAGTTCTGGCTCATGTCGGATATCGAGATGACCCCAAACAGTTTTATCGTGATTTTCAGATTCTAACAGTACCATCACAATACATTTATGATTGCCTACTGTACATGCACCGTAATTTGCATAATTTCGCGGCTCTGGGTGAAACACACCATCATGATACCAGACATCGCGACAATATTAGAATTAATTTTCTCAGACTAGGAACATCAAGGAATGCAACACTTTATTTTGCTCCTGTCTTTTATAATAAGTTGCCTGTCTCTGTAAGAGAGTTGACAGCTCAGCGATTCAAGTCTGTAGTTAAGAAATATTTGTTAGGCCAGATTTTTTATCATTATAGGGAATTTCTGGATAGGGATGTTGCTGCTGACTTTGATCTACTGTTGTGACACTGTGTTTTATTTAATTGTTTAATTGATAAATTAGTATCTATGATAAATGACAAATGTAAAAATTTATAAATTTGTATACATGATTATTTAATAAATTGAAATTGAAATCCTACACTGCTATAACCAAATCATTTCAGGGGTCAGTTCCTTGGGTTAAGATTCTTGAGTGGTGGGGGGCTGTGACTTCACACTTGGCTGTCAAAGTTGTCAACCAAAAGAATAACCACGGTATTTACCGATAAATAATCATTCCAGGCTGAAAATCGCCTTAACAGCTGTATGTAACATCCTTTTTCAACTTGAAAGCGTTTTTTAAAACCGGTCACTTTTAAAAATGTGTATTCTAAGCAATATATCAAGCAAAGCAAATTTTTAAAGGTACCAGTTTCAAAAAGCGCTTTTGCATGCAGCTGTAAAAATCTTGTTAAAATCACTTTTTCTACAAATCGACGAAAAAATTAACTCGCAAGCACAACCTGAATCGCAAACATCTCAAGGTCTGCGGTGAAGTCACCACTATTGGCTGCTGATAGTGGTGACGTCACTCGTAGACCTTGCCGACTCGAGATTCGAGAAGTGGCGAACGTCTGAGCAATGCTGAATCCTGTTAGCTTAGGATTCTTGGTTTTTATTAGCATAAATGAAAATTGAAAGTAACCTTGAATTTTATTTTATTAATTTGTCATATAAAATCACATTGAAAAACAACACTGTTCTAACTAGGATTGCAACCATTAATGCCTTCTCCATAATTTTTTGGTTGAATTTGTTTGATTTCCTCAAATAGAGCCTTTTCAAAATCGATTAATTTCTTGGGCTTTTTATACTAAAAACAAATGCAGAATCTAAACCAATACATTTTTAAAATTTACAAAAATTACTTACCGTTATAATGAGAGTATTAAATCTATGGGAAAATGTCACATTTTCTTGTTCCAATGGAATACTCAATCTCTCCAAATCAGGTACAGATATTTTCTTATAATATTTTTTGTTTGTGGTTCGTACAATTAGGAAAAAAGATTCTTGGTCTACATTTACTGAATATACTTCTATAGGGTATGGAAGGTTTCTTATACGCCATTCCAGATTGATTTTTGTGATTCTTCTTGTTATAAATGGCTGAAACAATAAAATAGTCTGATGCCCCCGAACACAAATACAAAATCTATAATGACTACCTACCTGACTGGAATCCTCTCTAATCATACACTTGTCTTCAGCATTATACTGAGGCTCAGGGTCTCCAACTTCGATATCCCAGGTTGCTTCTTCCTTCAACTGTTTATTACATCTCCAAGCCCTTTTGGTCAAGCAATTTGTACTCAAATCGTATTCTTCTACCAATTCTTTGCCGTCGTTAAATTCATAGTGGATTTTTTTCAAATTGTTATCTACTAAACATGATTTTTTCGCGTTTTTAAGTTTTGTAAACCAATCAGTCATGGTGAAGAATAATTAAGATTTGATTTAAAATAGGAATTTATGATAAAATTTCAATGGAAGAGGTGGTGAATTGACAAAACATTGTTTCCAAGGTGAAGTCGCTGGTGGATATTGTATTGACTAAACTAACTTTTGAGTTTTTGAAACTTGTGTTGCCAAGGAAATAAAATTGAATTTTCAAAATTTCAAATAAATAACAAAATCAAAACAAACTTTTAGGTTAGAATTAGAAATACAGGGTGAGTTCGGCTCTTTTCGGTTCGGTAGTTTTATATTCAAAGGTTCGGCTTAACAAAAAGGAGTGGGCCAAGAATCAAGAATCGTAATCGTAAATTAACCTATTGCTCATTAGGCAATTCAAACCACGTGACTTTCAAGATGGCGTGGCGGCCACACATGGGCCAAAAAACACAAAAAAATATCTAGATTCTGCCCGATTTATTAGTTTAGGTACCTAGTCAACAAATATTTTATTAAATAATCCAAATCAAAGTTGCAAGCAAAACTCTAAGCAAAATAATTTGAAATACACATAAAAACACATTCAAAACAAACTTGCTTGACCGCCACTCCATATTGAATTTTCCTATCTGACAGATGTATTGAATTGACGTTTTCAATTAAAAGAGATGGACGATAAAGAATGAAAACATTCAGATTCCCGCCAATATTTACTTGCTCCTACAGTGGCTAAATAAACCTTTACATACAGTGGCGACAATAGAGGTCCCGCCGCCATCTTGTTCCCAACCTCTTGTTACTTTTAAATATTAATATATAGGATTTAAATGGACATCTATCATAAAAAATTGATATCGACGTATTTGATGACCATTATTAGGTCCATCAAATACGTTGTTTTCCATGATTTATGATGGATGTTCACCTAAATCCCATATATTCAGGGTTGCCAGATGGTTATAACTAATTTCCCCCAAAGGATTTCAAAAATACCCCAAAAATCACTGTTTGTCAACTAAAATCCCCCAAATAAATATAGATTTATTCTCGACATACTTGCAAAAAAAAAGACAAATTCGTTGAATATTTCAAAATAAAACTCATACCCTTACCACTTTTTATTTGTTTATATTTTTCTAATCCCAAAAATAAAATGACAATTGACAAATGACAAATGAAATGAAATGTTGTGACTGGTGACAGAACAGATAAGTACAGTTAGTTGTACCAAGAAGTTTGGAAAGTTTAAAAAATAATCTCAAAACCACACCAAACGCTTTTGTTGCATACTGCCATAGCAGCCATGTTGGCTTTTTGTGCTTTGGAGGGATTTCATGCCCTTATTCGTTTTATCTAAAAAAATCCGCAAAAAATCCTCTGAATTACAAAATCCGAAAAAAATCCGATCGTCCAAAAAAAATACGCAAATCGGATTAAAATCCGTCCATTGGCAACACTGGAGAAGAAGCAAACTGTATCTTTTTATTGGTACTTGATTGAAAAAATAAATGGCGCAGTTGTTTTAATACATTTTTTACTTTAGTTTTATTCATTGAAATATACCCGATTTCCCCCAATAGCGAAAATTCTTACCCCCAAAAAATCCTCCAGAAAAAACTATCCCCCAGATTTTTCCCCATCTACTTGAAAATCCCCCAAATTTGGGGGAAAATCCCCCAATCTGGTAACACTGCATATATTCCTATTAAAAAGTAACAAGAGGTTGGGAACAAGATGGCTGTGTTTTCAATATAAATATATGGGATTTTAGAACTAATCAAAAATAAGACAGCAATTGTCGCCACTGTGGTAATAGAGTCACTGTACTTGCTCTGCTCGTCAATGTCAAGTGTATAGGGTGTTTAGCAATCCCCTGGTTTTTATTCTAATCGGTGACTCCACCGATAAGTTAGGTCTTTGTTCAGTGAATGGAAAATGACAATGACCGACATAGAATGGTGAAATTTGAAATTGGAAAGAAAATGTGGGAAGCAAACAGCTTCCGCAAACTAAACTTGCAAGTGAACTTCTTTGTAAACTTGATGGGCCGTGAATTTCCCTTTCTTTTGCGAGTATCCGTTCTGATTTTGTGTATCCAAATTTTGACAAATGTAGGATTTGATAAAAACTTATGGAAAGACACATCCGCCGGTGAATAGGAATTATTTTCACGAAAAGGCACACTACACACAATCACAAGGAAAAAAAACCTTGAAAAAACCAAGGAAATAATAATAGTTTCCACTCTCACACCTATAAAAGTCTTGTCAACAAACCACTGTCAATAGCTGTCAATCATTGTTTTCATACTCTTTTGGCGTCTGACAGTCTGACGCCAGAGAGAGAGGCTTCTAAATTGAAAAGGTCAATTGCCTAATTCTCATAAATAAGGCGTACGTTCGCCGATTTTCGATCCGTCAAGTCGTTCGAGTGACGTCACCACTATCAGCAGCTTATAGTGGTGACGTCACCCGCAGGCCTCGATGTGATTCTTGAGTTTCAGGCTGTTCTTGTGAGTTAATTTTTCGTCAATTTTAAATATGGAAAAGGTGATTTTAAAAAGATTAAAGGTAACAGTTTCATATGTCCCCAACACTTAATTTTGAATTAATTTTGTAAAATATGATTAAATAAGTGTCTGAATAGATAACTTCAACTAAAAATATTTGGCGCTAATGGTTTATAAATAAGAAAAAAAATATGTTTATATAAAATAAATGTCGAGGATTTATTAAATAATTTCCCCTAAGTAACAGTTTCATATATCCCCAACACCTACCTTTGAATTAGTTTTGTACAATATGATCAAATTAGTGTCTAAATAGATAGTTTCAACTGAAATTATTTCGTGCAAATGATAATAACATAAAAATTTTAAAAAAAATGTTCATATGAAATATATGTTGGGGATTTATTAAATCATTACCCCTAACTAAATATTTAGTAAATCCCCAACACCTAACATTTTTGCCTCGTGGCGCTGAGCTAGTTAAAAAAAAATTGATTTGAATTACAACCACCACAAGCCATAATTTTCAAAAAAAAAAAATACAAACTCAGAAACCACTTACTGATGTCAAATTGTTTTGAACAACGTCAGTACAAAGCTCACTTTATGACCTATGACTTTGTAGAAATTGCTGCTACAACATTTTTTTATGAAATTTTGAATTGTGAATATCTCTTTCCTGAGCTTGAACTGCTCGAACTCTATCTCTAACAGACCTAACAGTAGAGAATCTCTAAACGGGCTAGCCCGTTAAACAAAATGATGCAAACTAACCCAAATCAACCTGTCCCCGTAGTGCCTGCTAGTCTTCAGAATTATGTCAATGTTAGGTGTTGGGGATATGCTAAATATTTAGTTAGGGGTAATAATTTAATAAATCCCCTACGTATATTTTAAATAAACGTATTTTTTTTAGATTTAAATCATTTGGGTCAAATCATTTTAGTAGAAATTATCTATTTAGACACTAATTTAATCATATAGTACAAAATTTAGTCCAAATTGGGTGTTGGGGATATACTAAACAATTACCAGATTATAACGTTTTTTTTACGTAGGTATAGTATTTTACTCGGTGGATTTTAAGCCAAGCGTTGAGGTCTGCGGCTGAAATAACAGACACTTTCAGCTCAGGCTAAAAATGTTCTTTTTTCAACTGTCAGTACTGTATTTGCTGGGAAGCGTTCCGAAATAAAATTCAGTGTACTGATTTATTGAAAAAATGACTCATGACGTCACCGATACGTCACTAATTTAGTACTGTGTTTGCTGCATATGGGAAATAAGCTACTATAATCCAGTAAAAGTGGTGGGGTGTTGGATGATTCGTTCTGAATGAACTACATATTTCTATTGTTCATTGCTGGAAATATGATTTATGGAATCGAAAAGTCTACGGACGATTAGACGATGATCAGAGAATGAAAATTAAATAATAAGGCAAAAGGCAATCCCAAGAATCGTAAACTAACAGGATTGTTCATTCTCAGCGTACGTACGTTCGCCAATTTTTGAGACGGTACAGGTGACGTCACCACTATTGGCAGCATAGCAGCTTATAGGTTGTGCTTGTTTTTTCGTCAATTTTTAATGTAGAAAGGTAACAACAAGACAGTAACAAGATTTATAATTAATAACGTTTAGGAATTCGTTTTTTTGACCTATACAGTTTTAAACTCGGCTAATGGATTTTACGTCAAGAGAAGTGGTCTTGAGCTAGGTTACTTAGGTTAAGTATTCTTGGGAGCTTCCCAGATGCACACAGTACTAAACTAGTGACGTAATGATGTCATAAGCCTTTTTTTCAGTAAATCAGTACGCTTGAGAAACCGGCCCTTGGGGTCTCAAATAGGTATATCAGTTGCTGAAAAAGTGTCAACTTACGGGACATGGTTTTCCTGCAAGCTGATAATTTATCTGTCACCAAAATAACCAACGTCGTAACCGCTTATTACCGACTCGTGCTTAGAACAGGTAAAGCGCTGTCCTACGGACATAAAGGAGTAGGAACGCGCCATTCTGCTTATGAAACCAAAGTGAAGCGTCATTAGTTGTATTCCTTTCACACCTAGGAGAAGATCCGGAACAGCTCCGAGGCTTCACGCGCTTATTCCTTTCGAAAAGTGTTTGTCGTACCACGCATCTGTTCCCTGCAAATCGGGGGCTACTAAACACCCTAGCGAGTAGCTCGAGTGTTTCAAACTCTTGAAAGGAATACAACTATTAGTTGCATTCCTTTCACACCTAGGAGGAGCTCCGGAACAGCTCCGGGGCTTCACGCGCTTATTCCTTTCGAAAAGTGTTTGTTCCACCACGCATCTGTTCCCTGCAAATCGGGGGCTACTAAACACCGGAGCGAGTAGCTCGAGTGTTTCAAACTCCTGAAAGGAATAATGAGTGAAGCCAAGTTTTTGGCAGGTGTTTGACGTTCGTTGGGTAAAGCATTGCCCTGCCTCATTGGCCTTGCCTATACCGTCATTTTTTGGTGCCAAAATACCTGAAAAAAAAAACGGATTCATTTTCCAACTCCATGTTACTACTCCTCTTTATCTTTACCTGCTCTAAGGACTGGTGAGAAGTTCCCAGCAAATAGTACTGACTACTGACAGGTAAAAAAGAACACACCCATCAAGGATAATACACACTTCTAAGGATTGCTTTTCGGCCCCGTTTTAGGGAGGATTTTCATGCATCCGTTTTTCCGTCGAAATATGTCCGAAAAGTCTTCTATTTTGATATATTTATATACGATTATGTCAGAATAGAATGTTAAACGGACATATTTCGTCGGAA